TGGAGAATGATAGTGAGACTAGCTGTACTAATATGCTTCCATGGGGGGGGGACGATTCAAGCAGACTTTTTATTCTAACGTGGTACATAAATCATGAAATATTTGAAATAGATAAATGCTATATGCAACCCAATTTTTAATCGGTTATGATAGGCTCACTATAAAACGTTGATATTATGTCTATGATCATGTGGGTTTTTTACCAAGATAATTTTCAATTGAAGGATGTGGACAAAAATATATATTCTAAATTGGGGTGGACAAATCTAGTTGTCTCGAATTTGCCAAATCTGAAAGTATATAGATTCGGATTTGGCAAATCTGAATCTCCTAGGAATACAACTATCTCATGAATCATTTTTATGGGGCAAATCCGAATCTACTACAAAATAGGTAGATTCGGATTTAGCAAATCCGGGACAACTAGTTTTATCCACTTAAAATAGAAAAAAAAATCATTTTTGTCCACCTCTTTTTTTAAAAATTTTTTTGGCCGAAGCACCCATGGTCATATCTAATTCAAATCTATTCATAAATTCAGGTGTTCGTAACATCGATCATCACTACTTGATCTCTCTAGCTAGATTACGATCACTAGTTCACGTAGTTGTTCATTAGAGGTTAATACCATGCAAGAATAGAAATTTATAGTTTTACTGTACGAGAAAGCTAGCAAGTTACTCACTAGCGTACTAAGAAACATGTTCGAGATGTTTTTCCTTTTGGGCAAAGTTAGAAAACATGCATCATGGGAGGAGCATATTTCTTTGCCATGATAAGAAGTAGTAACAAACCTAGATAAATGAGGTACAGAATGACTAATGATGACCTACTAAACTAGGTTAAAGATTTCTTGGACGTTTCCAAATGTTTTTTTTTTTTTTTACTTGACGTGATTGGTGGTGTTAAACTGTTAAAATTTTACTCTTACTTGTATTTCTTGACTTCATTTCGTTCTATTTAGATCGTTTTATGGCGTGTGTTATTCTCACAATAAAAAAAAGTTAGAAATGTGCATGAAAAATATAACATGTTGATTAAAAATAAAGCAAAATTGAAAAGATTTTCTCGATTGTGTGTTTCCAGCCAGAGTTTAGGTTTGTCGGTAAAGTGCTTGTTGGGAATTTAGGCAAAATAGGGTAAATATATGTTTTTTTTTTTTTTTGGGGGGGGGGGTTGTGTAAATAGAGAATGCAAAATTAAGACAAATATGTGAAGGCATATGTTTTAGAGGCAAAAAACCTGGTGCATCCTTTACAAATACTGTAAAAAGTCTTCACTCACTCAATTGATTAGATTCATCACAAGAAGAACTAATAATTCGTAGAGGTTTGGTCCTTCGCTAAACTGTGGATCTATTGATGGTGGAGTCTATTCTCAGTGAATTGTGTTGTATTAATTCTATTGAGTCGTAGTAGTACGTACGTAGTTCATAGCTCGTGAGGTTGTTGTCAATGTTCGAGTTCTACGTTCGTGATTCAAAGAAGATTCAATCGTTGTAGTCATAGATTTAGAAGTTAGATTTATTGTTTAGGTTTTTTCAAAAAAAAAAAAAAAAGTTAACAATATAATCGAAATCAGATTAATTTTAGTTCTGGTTATGTTCATCTGTCGAGTGAGGCAATGTACATTTATCTATTGTAAACACATCTATGTACGTTTTTTTTTTTTTTTTGTACCAAGCTACTTTACAAGTTTTGTTATTTGACTGCCATTTTTAGAGTCATTTCTTGTTGTGTGATTTCCAGAAAAATTAACGAAGTTTTAGCTTCTTTTTTTAACAGTAATTATTTTCGAGACCATGTGCTTTGATTTGATTCATAGATTATAACTAGAGCTACATCTAGGATAAAAGTTTAAAAAACTTTGATAACTTTAGAGATCGACTTGAAGATATATATAAATCTAGGGACTTGCGCATTACGAAGAGTATTGTTGTCGTTGTCTAAGATCACTATGGATTTTACAAAATTCAAGGGAAAGTTTATTTTTAAAAATGTTGAAATCTACTATGTAGAACATAGCTTCATGATTCTTTATGTCTGATTATGTTTGTATTATAGTAATACACAATAGGTTATTTACTGAAAATGATTTCACTTTTTCTTTTGATGCAAAAAATTAAGGAGGCCACATCTAGAGAACCTTACATATTACATTTCGGGAAATTATCCTTACGAATCAGCTACTTAAGGATCACTACATTGCAGTAATCCTCATGTAATTAAGCTCGAAAACTAGTAACGTCAAATAATTACTTATAAATTTCGATTAAACTTTTGTGACGTGAAAAAGTTATTTGTAGGCTGGCCATCAAATTTAAATATAATCTCGACAGGTGCAGTGAAATGGTTGACATTACGTAGGGTTTCACATTCCTAAATCCAGTTTCGTTTTTGGATTTCTGGTTCAGCGTCCACGTTTAGGAACATTAGAAGAGAAGAAAATGTGAAAGTTTGATTAGACACAAGAGTCTTTTACAAGATCTCCTAGTATGTATCTTATTTCGGTGCATGGTTTTTACAAAATTTAGAGCCATCTTTTCTTTCTTTCTTTTTTTTCCTTGCTCTGTGTGTGTGTGTGTGTGTGTGTTTTGTTTTTGTTTCTTGGGTACCGCAAATTTGACTTCCCCTTGTTATAATACAATGTACGTTCATGAGGACAAAATTACGCGTACAACTTTCAACAAAAAACATGGTTTTTGGTCAATTAAATCTTGGTTGGAATTGGAAGGAATCAAGAAGAAGATTGCGTGGTGAGTCTTTATTTGCTGCTAGATTTGTTGCATTGATTGTGTTCTTGGCTTCTCGCAATATTCTTGAATTCGCTTACTTAACAAAGTTCTTAATTTCTAAAGATAAACAGTCGGCTATATGTGAAATGATATACTATAACCAACCAGATTACGCCAACACAATGACAGACATAAACTCGTATTATACGTGTTCTTCCTCCGTTTCAAAATAACTACTCTGTTTGTTATACTATGTTAATATATCAAATAAAACAATTATTTTAAGACAATAAACGTATCATTTTATAAAGTACAAGTTAGAACCAGCCTTTTCCCCCTTCTTTTTACTACTTAGAGTAAAACATTCTCTATGGAATTCAATAAGAATAGCAAAAATTAATTAATCTAATGGAAAGTTTCCTGAATTTGCACCTCAGGAGGTTCGAATGCAGATGATTTGGTTTGTAATCTCTCTAAAAGGACATAAAATATCACTTTATTCAAATTAATGAGCTCTAAAAATGACATGACTAACCACTAATCAAGGTTCTTTTAACAATCTTAGAAAATACCAATGGTTATTCTCTTTATATATATAGTTGATATAATTCTGCGTCTGTGCATATTGGATTAATAATGGAGAAAGCTGTGTTGAGAAAAAAGGTGTTTGAATTGGCAATTAATCACAGTCATTGGCAACATGAATATATAATTGATGAAATAATCATAGTTGAGTCAAGAGAGGCAGATAATGATGTCCATTTGATAGAGGAAAAATGGGAAATGCACATTATCGAAGAGCATATCTTTGATTAAAATAACTTTGGTTTGTGGATGTGTTTGAATCATGGATGCAAGAATTCGATGAGAGATAAATACAAAAATAGTAGCAAAAGTGAGATGGTGGTGTTATATTTCCTCTGTCCCAAATTTATAATCCAGTTTGAAATTTCACTTTTAATATAATTTAAACTGAAAATGAAAACTCAAACTGAACAATAATTATGGGACGGAGGGAGTACTATTTTGGAAATTGGAACAAACAGTTCCCAAAAAAAAAAAAAAAAAGCTAGATAGAGATATGAGGCTCTCTATCACATAGATTTGGTTTAGAAAAATTTGCATTGTTTTTCTTTTTTTCATCAACATGCTCTCTCGACCACTAAAAGACGGCATTCATAGTTCTTCAATCTCACACAAACAAAGACCATATCCGTATCTCATAAAGGCAGAAAAAAAGAAAGAAAAATAATAGAAATAGTTCCCATTTTCAAGTATTGGGATTGGAGGAATCTTTCTTTCTCATTCCCTCTCGAGAAACTTTTTCAGTGATAAAGTTTAGAGAAGAGAGACAGAGAGGCCACCGAAAAGCATAGACACCTTATCATGAAAGTAAGAATGGAAAGGAAGAAATTTAACCAATTAAACCATTATAATTAGGTTAAACTAGATTGCCCAATCAACACACATTCTTATGCTAACAAATAGGACTTATCAAGTTGTCTAAACTATTGCACATATGCTTGGCCATTCTTAGTAAATGTTCATGTAACCCAACTTTGAGTTACAGTTTAGTTCTTATGATTATATCCCCATCATTTAATTAAATTATAATTAAATAAGTGATTATCTCTATACTTTTGTAACTTTAGTTTATACGCCATCTATTTCGAAATATAAGTTATATTTATTGTACTATTATAACTATAATATTCTTATAGTTCAAGAAAAAAATAAAAATATATGTAATACACTACACTGTACGTAAAGACCATACTATACGAAGTTTGGCAAACAAAAAACAAAAAAACTAACTTTAATTTAGAAAATATCTATTATGTTAGGATAAGAGATGTTGTGATAGATTTTTTTTTTTTATGCGAACATATGTAGGGAGCAGCATAACATTCTCTTATAAAGTGTTTGTAAATCTTAGCGATATGTATAATGGGTTTATGCTTTGCAAAAGTTAATGTGTGAAATTATTACTTGTAGATTCTTTGATCCCCATTAGAAGAGGAAAAAAGAAACAAAGAATTGATGAACTAGGAATCTAGGTTAAGGAAGTAGTAGCCAGCACATCACACACAAAGCATATAAAATACATCTACTAGTACTCAATTGATTACTAACTAGGTAGTTGTACAAGAAAAAACTAGCAATCTATCATCCAAAAACAAAAAGCTCATACATTTCATACAAAAGATGTAGGTTTTCCCTTAATAAATATAAGGAAAAAAAAAGCACACACACACACACAATGAAAGCCTAGACTAGACATGAGGATCACTTTTTCTTTTCCTTTTTTTGAAATGAAAATCCCAAGTCAACCGCACCTCATCATTTGGTCTTGGTTCTTCTAGGCACCCACCTCACTTCCCACTTTCTTTCAATTCTTTTGCAAAAAAAACTTTTTCTTTTTTTTTCCTTTCTTTCCATCTTCTATATAATTGCTACACTTTCATCATCAAAAATCTCTCTCTCATACCATGGGAATAAGCATGAAGGTGCATCAGTTCGCACGTGGATTTTGGGATCAACACGAACAACCTTCGCTCACGCTTGCCGGATGCAAGCGTTTGCGCCCTTTAGCTCCCAAATTCTTGGCTGCCGGAACCACCACCGACACTGTCACCGTCGCCGCCTCGGCCGCCCTCGGCCCTTTTCATGATCTCAAGAGCTTCATCAAGCCGGAAAGTGGTCCGAGAAAACTCGGCTCCGATGACGAAAAGAGAGAACCACCACAACAAGTACGTAAAAAAAAATGCATGCATGGTGGCGTTTTTGTAATTTCCATTTTCTTTTTTTCTTATTTTGATTCTTTATGATGAGTGATTAATTTTGTGATTTATTCCAACTCAGGTGGATACTCACCCCGGAGGGACGAGATGGAATCCGACTCAAGAACAAATTGGAATATTAGAAATGCTGTATAGAGGAGGGATGAGGACTCCCAATGCACAACAAATCGAACAAATCACAGCACAGCTTGGAAAATATGGAAAAATTGAAGGGAAAAATGTGTTTTATTGGTTCCAAAATCACAAAGCAAGGGAGAGACAAAAGCAAAAACGCAACAACCTTGCTCTTAACAATAACCATAGTCCAAGATCATCTACAACCACCACCACCACCACCGTCACCAGTTCCCTAACTCGCGAATCAATGGTCAGTTAATTATTTCTACACATTATAATTATAATAATATATGTCACATCGGTTTCTGAGAGTAACGAAATACTTCTCGGGTGTGATTTTGTTTAATGTATAGGGAGATATATTTGGGAGAGGAGAAGAAGATAGTCCATACAAGAAAAAGTGCACGTCTTGGAGTTTTGAAATCTTGGAGGATGATGACAAGAGATATTGTAGAAATTTGGGAGATGGAACGCTAGAGCTTTTCCCATTGCATCCAGAAAAGAGATGAGCATTTCGGGGAGAAATTAACTCCAAGTTAAAAAAAAAAATTCTCCCTCCATTAAGATTTCAGTTTTAAGCATGTAATTTTTTGTTTCATCATCGATCATGTAGCAATTTTTAGCATTAGTACTACTTGAATTTCTTGCTTTTTCTTTCTTTCTGATTCATCTCCCTCAGGAAGAACGAAAAAGACAAGTACTTGTAAGGTATGATCTTCTCTTTATATTATTCCTAACCTGATCACGAGGTTGATCAAAGAAAAAAAAAAACCAAATGCGTTTTTTTTAAATATATATTGTCTCTCTTGGAAATTGTTGCTGCGGCTCTCTTTTCTTTTTTCTTTTTTTTCCTTCTCTTTTTTCCCAATATTCTCCATCAGGTGATCTATCCCTTTTGACAATTGCAACTTCTTTTAGGTTAAAAGTTATGGAAAAACAGGGAAAAAATTCCGTGACAGAAGGACACTGAAGTCCACGAGTATTGTTCATCTTGTAGCTATACCCCCATTCGGCCATTCCCCGATGCAATGTTTTTCTTTTCAAGTTCCCAAAAAAAAAAAAAAAAACTGATATAAAGATTACTGTCCATGAAACAGGATGAAAATCTAACCGGGAATAGAATAGCCTGAAATGGGATTAATAATTTATGTTATTATAATTAATAATTATTTTTGGGTTATGACTTTTGTGGGAAATGGAAATTTTTAAGTTGTGATTGATAGTGGTTAGTGGGGTCGAAAATGATCAGTTTTGGAGATACGATTATATCTCTTCGAGGTGGAAAAATGAGAAAAGAGAAGGCTTCTATTCTAAAGTTTGGTTCGTAGTAGAACTAATTAAAGTTTCTCTTTAGGATTTTTAGCAAATAAATTAACTAGTTGTCAACTTGTCTTATCATGTTTAGTTCACGCCAATGCAGATGTGTGACGCTGACTACATTATTTGCGTCACGGACTCATCAACCCACAAAATTAATTAAACTACATGTGTGTTGATTTTTAGAATGGCAATTCAAATTGTCGTGTATAATTGGGCTTGTTGTCAGTGGCGGAACTAGTTACTCAGACTTAAAGGGGCTGACTATATATAATCAAGATCGATGACAAAAATATATGATGTAAGGTTAACCGTGATTATTTTTAAGGGGCTATGTAATTTTTGAAAAAAAAAAAAGAAAGAAAGCATATCTTGTATATAATATACGTGTCATTAGTAATATGAATTATTCGTAATTTAAACACACAAATGTCTGATCCTATTTCCACAGGGATTGTGGATGGCTGGATACCAACGACGGGGATTTGAGTTGCCTTTGGGAAGCAAATATTTACATTATTGATGCTGCTGATTTTGATTTTCATGTCTTCAGTTCAGTGACTGCTCCCATATGATTATTGGCAACGGAAATGATTAATGTGTAAACTTATGGTGTTTTTTTTTTTTTTTTTATATATAAGTGAAAAAAGTTAGTTCCATGACCATGCATGTGATATTAATTGATGAATCCCTACTTAATTTCTTATGAGCCCAAATCAAAAATTCAAAATTAAAAATGATCAATATTACAAGAATTCCGATTCTAATGTCCTACTTGCTACTACTAACAATCACATGATTTGTATGAAACCTCTAACAGCAATTAAACTGTTCTCTGTTCTCTGAAGATTTCAGAATCTTTTACCTTTGTGACACATTTAAATTTCAGATGTTTGAGTCACTATATACTCTTAGTGAGTTCCCTATGGAAAATAACAATGTCCATTACTTTCTTGACAAAACTAATTGTTGCACAATGGGAAGTTTTCAAAGCAGACATCTAACACACTATTCTCTGTCCAAAAATTATTGTTCAGTTTGAAATTTCACTTTTAGTACAATTTGAACTAGAAATAAAAATCCAAACTGGACAATAATTATGGGACGAGGGAGTAGCTATTATCTTTCCATTTTTTAAGGTCAACTAGATTATCTAAATTTTAAAAATCACACGTTTCGTATCATATTTTTTTCGAACTGGCACTGAATCCGTAGAGCCGGTTGATGGTGTTACGTTAATGTGAAAAATCACATATAATGTGTTCATCAATACATTTTTCTTTGGTAGCATGTAGTATTCGTAAGATTATCTAGAGTAACACAACCAAGAAATAAAAGGGCTTTTTTGGAGGAATAAATCTGCTCACTTCGGTTTAATGATTTTGACATACATTGGAAATGTAAAAATATATTTTGGGATGGGATAGATATTAATTAAAAATTTTGAAAAAAAAAAAAAACAAACAGAGTTCCATTGCAGCACTTTTCTTGCATCCAATCGAAATAGAGATGATAACTGAATTCAATATTTTTGGGCTAGTGGGTTCTGGGGTTCATAAGTAGATGGTCCTCTATACCAAGTAAATTTGGGCCTTAGAATGGGCCAATGTAACACCATTTTTGGGTTGAATCTGTTGATCTTCTTGTTGTACATGTCATGCCTTTGCGTACATTAACCTAATTAATAATCAAAATTTGAGAAAAGAAGTTGAAAGGAGAGAATTGGATGTTGGGGGGGAATGCGTCAGATGTATAGAGGATAAGATTAGAACTATAAAATAGAGGATTTGGGTGAATGGAGAAGAAGAAGAAGATTTGGAGAGAAAAACATTACATATAAATTCAATATTCATTTGATAACCTTTAAAACTACAAAAATTTGTCACAAAATGAATTGGGAATTAAAGTGGTTTTTTAGATTTTAGAGGATTTTAGAGATAGAAAAAAAAAAAAAAAAAGAGGGAGAAACAAAAGAATATCCATCCGAAGTTGAGATCAAAATTTGAAAGAAGTGAGAAATTAGGGAGGAAAACAACTAAACTTAGAAAACAACAATTTACAACTTGATCACTCTAAATTAATATTTTTATCATATCCCAACTTAATAATGCACATTGAGGTTTCTATATTTGTACTCTTTTTATTATAAAATAATTGTTCAATTTATATTTTATTTTTTATAGAACCAGTACTAAAATAAATTCTAAATTGGATTTTCATTCCGGTGGTAAAACTATTTTTAGTAGAAATCTCATAATTCAATGTTGACTAATTTTTTGAGACAGAAAATATGACAATGCACCTGCATTTTATTAGTACTTATTACTTATATATGCCTCTTGTCTTTTTTTTGAGAAACTTTTTTTTAAAGAAAACTGTCACGTAAAATATTCAGGATGCTAATATGTTTCCGGCATCTGAAGGAGAAAATAAAGATTTATAAAATTCCATGAGACCGTTTCAGCTTTTATTAAGTCTTTTATAGAAGACTATTTAATTTTCCAATTGACTTACAAATCTATAAAGGACCAATACTGATTTACCAATTCAACATTCGGGCTTTCTATCGATTACGAGCAATGGTCCAAAATTTCCAACTCTTGTCTTGTTTGTACAACATCTATTTTGTCATTTTATCTCATCTATGTACTTAAATATAAGTTTCTTCGACAAAGATATTAAGTGAAGAATTGACCATTTATTGAAATCTCGTACGTCGGTAAAGTTTGATCCGACAGTTCTATTTGATTTAATTTAAATGAGGTTATATATGTAACTTCAAAAATCTGTTTCGCATTAAATTTTAAAAATTCAAACACAATTAAAAAAGACTCATGCTACTTCCGGTTTAAGTTAAAAAAAAAACCCACACCCTCAAAACGCCGTCGTTTTGAGGGTTGAAAAAAAAAATAAAAACAAAATTTAAGAACCCCTTAATCTGTTCTCCTTTGTCGGCCCTTTTTCCTTTTTCCCTTCAATTTACAAAAACAAAAAAAAAAAATCACAATGTCGTCGTTTTTCCCTTCTAATAAATCGTAGATTTATGTTTTTTTTACTTTCCAATAATAAAATTCCATTTGAAGCAATTCACTCCAAACAAAACGTTAAACGAAGCAACACAAAAATAACCCATCACTGAACAGACAAAAGAAAAATTTTCATCCTCCTCCTTCTTCGCAGGGTCCCTTCTTCTTCTTCTTCTTCGTAGCCCTATTCAAACTCTACAACTTGGGCGATTTGATTACCCTCCCGTTTTTGTTAATTTTGGTGTTTAAAATCTAATTCAAATTCTGCAAATTATATTCTTCACCGATTCCTTTTGATTGCGAGAGAATTTGAGAACACAATAACTTTCCCATTGGATTGTGATAGAATTTGAGTAGTGTATTTTATGTGGATTGTAATACTATCATTAGAATAGGATTGTAGCAGCCTTCGGTGGCTCCTCCCTTCAATCATGAGTATAAATACCTCTTTTCCCAAACCTTTACACTCCAAATTAGTCTCTCTTTTGCGGTATGCTCTCTTTCTTTTTTTCTTTTATCGGCCTTTCAATTTCGTATTTTCCTGATGGAAGTGTTGTTTTTGCTTGCTTTTCATTTTTGAGGGAAGAAACATGTAATGTTTAGCTGTACCTGGATTTACGGACGGTTAATTTTGCCGGGTTGTATTTTTGGGGTTTCAGAAACAGAAAGCGAGCTTTCACTGTCTCTTTTTTTTTTCCTAAATTAATTGTTGATTCTAGAAATTTTCTTGCTGGGTTCTGGGTATTCCCTTTTATGATTTACTTATTTTCTCGTTTTATTTGTAGTATTGGTTCTCTATGTATCAATTTCATTAGAAACGCTGATGATTTAGTATGTCGTATAAAAAAAAATAACTTTCCAACTAGCATTTGCTTTCATTTGCCCGTATTTGTTTGCTGCCCTTAAAAGCTGCAGATTTGTGTGTTTGTAGTGCTTTTCTTCTGAAACTATTGTTTTGAACCAACAAATATATGCCTTGAATGTGCCTTTTGATCTGTGGATATTTGCTTGTGCAGCAACAATGTTCGAAATCGCATCTTCCGCACCTACATACATCTCCAGCTTGTGTTCGAGTACAAGGTGATGTATACATCTTTAGCTTGTGTTATTCTTTTTCAGATTTCTGTTCACTTTCATGTCTTATTTAGTTTTAGAACTGATAGACCTATTGGAAAGTACATTAGCTCGCCAATAGGTCTATTGCTCGTGTTTTTCTTTTTGGTTTTTTTTTTTTGCTGTGTTTTTCCTTTTTTGAGTCTTATTCAATTTATGATGATTCTTTGCTGATAGAGTCTACCTTATTCCTCTTTTGCTATTCCTCTTATGTCACCATGCTTGTTTGATTTGGTCTTCCATTTTTCATTCCTATGTTCTGTTGATATAGGAGAAGTGGATATGGGCAAAAAAAAAAAAAGATTGATTCTATTGTTGTCCAAGACTAATTCTATTGTAGGTGTAATAGTTTTCATTTTGAAAGTGCAAGTTACATAGTTTCTTCACTTTTCAATGACGTTTATTTTCTCATAGTTGGCTTCTGATATTTGTTAAAACTCTTTACTATTCTTTTTCAATATTTGACTTATGGTCATGGTTGCATGACTCTATTTAGTAAACATAAGTTTCTGTCTTACACAATATTTGCTACTCGAAATGGCAGCTTTCGTGCCTTCATACATCTTTGGCTTGTGTCCGACTACGAGGTGATGTCTATTTATGAGTTTCACCTTGTGTATTGCATCTATTTATGAGTTCCTAAATATGAATATTCTCGAGTTTTGGTTCCTTTGTTGACTGATTTACATACTTAATTTAGTTTTACTTGAATGCATATTTAGGGTTATGCATTTTGTATCTTCATTTTGTAGCATGGAAAACCAGCAGGCAAAGACTGTTGATGTGAAGCTTGAAATCGATAAGCTGACTGATGTCGATCAACCATAGAGTGTTGTTGTTGTTGTTGAGGAGAAGGAGAATCCTTACAAAATATAGTATCACAGTTGTTGGATTATGTGTTTGTACCTTCTTTAGTATGATCTATGTCTATGTTGCCACCCACCGGTATGTTTGATGTTTTGGAAGGTTCCCAAATACCAGTCTCGATGCGACCAATTGGAGTTTTCCATACATATTTCCTTTTCGTTCAGGATGCCGGCGCCTTTCGTTGAGACATAGGGGATTTGCCAATGTCATTTGGTTGTGTATCAGGGCGTGTCTGCACATGTTTTTCCATTTGAGTTTGTGTTTTGCGTTTGTTTTTGCAGGTGGTGTTCTCATCCATGGCTCTTGCAAGGAATAATAAAAGTGTTTAACAAATTTTATTACAACATGACGTTCCATGTAACATACTAATGGCCAAGGGAGATTGTCAACAAATACAATGCATCAGACGGTGAAAACCAATTGAAAAACTCATCAATTAATTTATTTATTCTATACCAGCGTCTTAAACTATTTGAAAATCCATGTTCATTTCTCAATTTAAAAATTTACAGGAAAATTGATAGACGTCCCTCTAACCGTCCACCAAGATCCTTCTCTTTCAATGGAAAATGCACTGGAGAAGACGACACCTGAAGCAATGCCTCGCCGACCAGGACGTCCAAAGGGATCGAAAAACAAAACACAAAAACCAAAAAAGAGTCCGAACATTGGCATACCTACTCAACCACTTCCAATGCCACGCGCAAAACCATGCGAACACCGCGACGCCCACAAGTTTTACAAAGAGACGGCCGATTTCTGCTGTGGTGGTGGAGAGATCTCACTCGCCCAATCTGAAATGCCAAAAGACCTGGTCAAACTGTTCACCGGCACGGACGAAGCTTCAGTCCAGTTCAGGAAAGAAGTAAGGACCTATAACAACAACCTGGCATTCACATCACTTGGCGCACAATACGATCGCGAGTTGACAAAGAATACAAATAGCGTCTACACATTTAAGGTCATGGAACAGGTGTACCACTTGATCCACAACCTCCAGCCAGGAGAAGGGAAGACTCCAAAAGGCCTACAACTCTACTTCTTTGACTCAGAAGAAGAGTTGAAGGCACGGCTTAGTCAATCGCCAAAAAGGATGATCGAGGAGACGTTGTCGCTGCTGATGGATATCCTCAAAAACAATCCATACCGAGAGTTCCTGAAAGACCTAAAAGACATGCCAACTCTCGACAACAAGGTCATCGTCCCCAACATGAGTCCCAAGTTAGACCAACGAAGGTACAACCTTCCCAAGACGAATGAGGTCGCGGCTATATTCACCGACATGTCGAACGAGTGGGTGGATAAGTCCGTACACATCCAAATCTACGACAAGTCCGAACAAAGATATGCCCTGAAACACTACAGTGGCTGCTACGACACCTGCTTTTCCCTCTCGGAGAGACAGGTTGGCATAACGGCATCCTCAGGAGTAGAAAGAAACAAAAGTGTTCGAAAAAGGCAACACCCGCGGGATCCCAAGAAATATTGTTGCCGACAATCGACACCGCTTAAAAATAGTCGATTTAGAAAAAACAGGTACGCATCTAACTGATTATTAATTCTTCATTTCATTCTTATTTCTCCACACAAGATACATATGGACTCACATTCTACGTATCTATTCATACAATTACAGTGGCTGCCAACAACATGTAATCTAAAAGAAAAGTTTCGGCCAGCGAATACTACTGTTACAAGCTGCGAATCTGAGAAAATGACGAGTCAATGATACTCCACACCTTCCGACTACTCCGACAGTTCGTCGTCGACATCTACGTGAAGGTCGAGACAGCCAGATTAGAGTTTCACCAAAAGAAGAATGAAAGGACTAGAACGGAGATTTTACAGGGTGTCATGGACAGTCTCTCTGGCGGCAAGACACAAGGAGAAAACGTTGGAAAAAAATCGTTCCTTCCAAGCTCTTTCATCGAGGGACCCAGGGACATGAGGCGCAGGTACCTCGACGCAATGTCTCTCGTCTAGAAGTACGGGAAACCAGACATCTTCATTACGATGACATGTAACCCTTACTGCCCGGAAATCAAGAAACACCTGAAATTCGGCGAACTACAAAACGAAAGGCCAGACCTCCTCACGAGGGTTTTCAATGCCAAGCTGGAGCTCCTGAAGAGGGAACTGCTCGAGAAGAAGTTATTTTGTGACATCGCCGCGTGCATTTACGTTATAGAATACCAGAAGAGAGGCCTCCCACATCGCCACCTCATGCTCATACTGGAACCCAGTTCAAAGCCGCTCAACCCTGCTGCTTACGACATGATTGTCTGCGTAAAGCTCCCAACAAGGAAGAACATAAGCACCTCTACGAAATGGTCGTCCAACACATGATGCACGGACCCTGTGGGGAAATAAACAAGGAATGTACCTGTATGAGGGACAACAAATGCAAGAACAAGTTTCCCATGCCCTTCGTCGAACACACTTACCACTCCAAAGAAAGCTACCCCAACTACAGGAGAAGGAACGACGGCAAAGAGGTCGAGGTCCGAAAACACTGTCTCAATAACCAGTGGGTCGTTCCATACAACCCATTCCTCTTGGCGCTTTTCGACTGCCACATGAATGTCGAGATATGCTCCACAGTCAAACTGGTCAAGTACATGTACAAATATATCTACAAGGGGCACGATGCCATCTCTTACAACATAGTCAACAATGCCAACGACGAGATCAAAGCGTTCAGGAACGCACGATGGATCAGCCCACCAGAAGTAATGTGGAGGATATTCGCATTCGACGTGTACTACATGACCCCGTTTGTATTACCACTGCAGATACACCTTGAAAATCACCAATTCGTCCACTATGATAAAAGTGCTTACCTCACCAAATTTGTCTACGATCAGAGCATGTCCCGAACCATGCTTACCGAGTTCTTCGAGATGAACAAGTGGAGTCCCATGGCGCAACAACTAAACCTCCTTTACCGGGACTTCCCAACATTTCGTGTAGAACAAGCATGCACATGGACACTTAGAAAGAGGGGAAAGATGATAGACAGAATGGTCACAGTGAGCCCCAGGGACGGCGAACATTACTACATGAGGCTCCTACTGTTGCACGTCAAATGTCCCAAGTCCTATGTTGATCTACGCACAGTCCACGGTCATGAATACCCCACTTACAGAGAGGCTGCTCTGCACTCGACCTTTTACATTCAGACTCATACATAGAAGAAACACTAGAAGAGGCGAGACTGTTCGAGCTACCAAAAGCACTGCAGTGTCTGTTCGCAATCCTACTCATTTGGTGTTTTCCTAACGACCCCAAAAAGCTATGGAACAAATACAAGGACTACATGTCCAGTGACATCAGTTGGAAGAATAGCCAGCATGGGATCAAAACAAACATTGAAAAGAGGACTATGAAAAAAATAAATGCCTACGTAATTCAAATGTCGAAAAACCTTACAGATTTTGGTTTTACCGAATCTGAGTTCGACGACGGCGATGAATCTACCATTATGAGGGAAGACGAGTCTGAGAGGAAATTTGAAGTGGCAAAGGAAGACCTAACACTCCATACATAGCTAAACACCGATCAAAAAAAGGCGTACGACATGTTACTCAGAGCAATTTCTTCGAATACTGGACATGTATTTTTCTTAGACGGCCCTGGCGGAACGGGGAAAACGTTCCTATATCGGGCTCTCCTAGCAGCAGTGAGATCAAAAGGCGACGTGGCCCTCGCAGTAGCATCATCGGGGGTTGCTGCAGCAGCCCTGCCAAGAGGACGTACTGCACACAACCGCTTCAAGCTCCCAGTCAACGACAATGAAGGCTCTACATGCCAGGTCAGCAAGCAGAGCAGTGTGGCAAGACTGATCATCGACTCAAAATTGATTGTTTGGGATGAGGCTTCGATGGCCAGGAAAGCAAGCCTAGAATCTTTCGACGACCTCATGCGTGACCTGATGGGTTCTGATTTGCCTTTTGGCGGTAAGGTCGTGGTCTTCGGCAGAGACTTCCGACAGATACTCCCAGTTATCGAAAAAGCGTCGAAAGAGGAAATGATCGACTCTTTAGTTCTCAATTCATCTCTATGGCCCGGTATACAAAAGCTGAAGCTCATGACAAACACGCAAGCAGCCATCGATCCCCAGTTTGCGTCTTTTTTACTAAGGGTCGGCGAAAAGGTAGAACCAATGGACGAATCCTCACAGATAGAGCTGCCTAAAGAATTCATGATACTATACGACAACAAGGACAAATCACTAGATAGGTATGTCGCTATTCCATTACATTTTTAATCACTTGTATCATCTTTTTTCTACAACACTCTTCTCTGATTCGTTACATTAATATTAAAACTACCAACTGACTTACTTTCCAACAGGCTTGTTGCTTCCGTGTTCTTCGACCTCCAATACTATGCAGACAATCTATCGTACATGATGAAGAGACCTATCTTAGCACCTACAAATGATGCTGTCGACGCCCTCAATGCTCAGTTGATAGACCGTTTCCCTGGAGAGCCGCAACTCTATACGAGCGAGGACAAGACTGTCGATGAGAGGTACCAGGTTGATTATGAAGATTTCATAAACTCCCTGAACCTGAAAGGTTTACCTCCACACAAGTTGGTATTGAAATACAACAGCCCGATAATGCTATTGCGCAATCTAAACCCGACCGAGGGCCTGTCCAATGGCACTCGCTTGCTGTGTAAACAATTAGGCAAGTATGCAATAAAGGCTGAGATCGCTTTTGGACCACACACCGGCAAAAAAGTATTTATCCCAAGGATCCCTCTCACTTGTGATGACATCGGCATCCAGGGAATCGCTTTCAAAAGGCTCCAGTTTCCTGTAAAGCTATGCTTCGCAATGACCATCAACAAGTCAGAGGGACAAATTCTAAAATACGTCAGATTGTATTTGTGCGAACCCGTCTTCTCTCATGGACAGTGTGGCTCTCTCAAGAGCAAAACCGTCAAAGGCGGTCAAATTCCTCATCATGCCACCTACATTGGACGAGGTCTTACACGACGACAACAAAACTCGCAACATCGTATACAAAGAGATCTTCGACTTGGCTCAGATGTAAAAAACGGCACCACCTTATGTCTATGAAAGAACCCAATGACATCTGCATCTTTTATCTTATGCTTTATTTATTTATTCATTTGCAAACGAATTTGTTACATTATTACCTTAATTAATAAATCAGTACAATTTTGTTTATTCAATTTAATTTTTTCTATATTATGCTTAATCATTCTTACGTATGTTTTATCATTATCATATTACTATAATATACAAAATTCAAAACACTAATACAACAATTACAGAAAAATCATCTAAATAACACTAGTCGCACAACGCGCCACATGAATAGAACTAGTTTTACCTCTTAAAACACCTCTCAAACACAAAACCTAATACTATCTAAATAACTTTTTAATTTACTTTTTATAATTTAGTTCAAACATTATTTTTACACCATTTTTTTAAACCACTACCGGACCACCTCCGCCGCTACCGTCCGCCGCTGGGCCGCCGGCCGGCCGGTTGATTTCCGACGACTTGGCTGTGTCACGGGCTTACTTTTTCAAAGTAACGGCCGTGCGGCACTAGCACAAAACAACTAACGATCAAGTGCTAGCTCAGCCTTAAGACCCCCAAAGCGTGCAAAGCTAGGCAAGACCTTAAAGAACGGAGGCAAAGAAAAACTTAAGAAAGGTTGAAAGTGAAAGAATGATGAAGGCACAAGAGAGCTTAGGGAATGCTTGAGAACTCTACTCAAAGCTTGGATGGTTACAAATGGAGGGGGCATGGGGTATTTATAGGCAAACCCCCCAAGTCCTAAAGAATTCTAGAGAATTCTATGTGCATAATAAAATAATGGGATTCTAGAGAATTCCTACAATAAAATATTCTAAGTTCAAAATATCTACAAGTCTCTAGAATCTTCCACACGATTCTAGCAAACTCGGGTAGCTTCCATACGGTTCCACTCGTTTCTAGAGAGTTCTGGGCCTCTCTAGAAAATTCCAGAGTCTTCAAGATTTGACCGGAAAATTCCACAAGGCTCTAGACCGTTCCGTCCCATGTCCGTCTACGAAAATAGCCCGTTTCGCATCAAACCACCCGAATTCATGGTGAAGAAAAACTGTCCGTGACATCTGGAATCTGGTCAGCCGGTGGCGACTATGAGCGGTCCGGCGGCGGCGTCAGTAGTGGAGGTGGTCCGATGGTAGTCTAAAAATATTATTATCTTATTTATTATCCAAACAACTTTTTTAATTTTCTCTCAAAATACATTTTAAATCATATTTTAAAACCAAATCAAAAACAAAAATAAAAATAAAAACAAAATGTTGGCCAAACAAGAAATAGTGGAAATAACTTCAAATGTTGGCCAAACAAAAATAACTTCAAATTTTTCCAAATATACATCACCGAAGATCTCGAAATAGTGGAAAATTATTTAGAAAGAAAGAGTTAAAAAAAGAAATTTGTTAATTATTGTCATCATCAATATAAAAAAAGTTGTTGGAAATTGAAAGAAAGCCCGGGTAATGACGAGTACCCGCGCTAAGATTCAACCACGTCATCGAACAATTACAGCGCACGGTTTACCACGTGGCACGATCCGCACCCGTTTAAAACCTCGTAGCATGTCATCCTACGGCGGAGAAACAGCCTCGCAACCAAAAGTACCGTCTTACGTTAAATTAGACTCGACAAAGGTAACCGCCAGGTGTGGCGCGTAACCCGAATCCGACGGTGGAGATTTCATCATCTTCTCTTTACTGAGTCTTTTTTTCTTTTGTTTTTTTTTTTTTCCAGTTTTCCTTCTCCTTTAGGGTTTCTGTGAAGTCATCACCGTCTTCTCCTCCTCAGTCCCCGTATTTAAACCTTTTCACTGTTCTTTATTTCGCCGGTTTGCGGTGCAGTTCTCTCTGCCCTCCCAAAAATTCCTTAATTAAAAAAAAAAAGAAAAAAAAATTTCTTTGGTTTGCGGTGCAGTTTTCTTTTCTTTTTTTTTTTTCCTAAAAAAATTTCTCATTTATTTCGATTTTGGTTGTTTCTATCCATACCGATCTTTCCGTATCCCCTCCACTCTTCGGATCTCCGACGACCCTTTTACCCGCCACCTCCACCGCTTTTATTCGATTATTACTGTTTTTTCCTGATTAGGTTGTTACTGTAAGAGTTTGGAATTAGCGGTTTGGGGGAGTAATTTGGGAAATATACCAGTGTGTAATCTTTTGTTGTGTCGGGAAAGGTTTAGGGTTGCAATGGCGCAGATTCAGGTTCAGAATGCTACAGTGCCAACTGGGCCCAATGGAGTCCCAGCTCCGGCTGGTGGCGCTGCGGCGACGGGTGCGGCGGCGGCAGCTGGTGCCGCGGGGAGCAATTTTTTGTCGACTTCGCTGTACGTTGGGGATTTGGATGTGAACGTGAGTGATTCGCAGTTGTACGATCTGTTCAACCAGGTCGGGCCGGTTGTCTCTGTTAGGGTTTGCAGGGATGTCAATACTCGTCGCTCTCTGGGTTATGGCTATGTCAATTACAATAACCCTCAGGATGGTGAGTTGGGTTTCGCATAGCATTGTTTTTTCTTCTTTTCAATTGCTGTAATTTAAATGTGGTTTCATGAAAGCTAATTAGTCTGTTGTAGAATTTGTGGTTACCAAATGGCATGTTTTGCAATATTGTGGCTGTGGTGTAAATTGTTTTGAGGTGGTGATAAATTAGTGTGTATGTTCCTTGTGCTTAAAATATACAATTCCTGAGTTTCAAAGTCCTGTTGGTTTTTAGACTTCTCTCTTGCTAATGTTGTAAGACCTGTCCATGCATTTATATCATGGTTATTGTATTAGTTGCTGTATTTGGTGTCTGTTGTTAAATATGATGTTTTTACTGGACTTTCTTCGACTTGCTGACTGCTTTTGCTTTTTTTTCTAGTCTAGTGCTTCTCACTACTTATTGAGAAATTCTAAGAAAATAAAAAGTATGGCGTATTAGTTACTTCTCTTGTGGTTAAGTTTTGAGCTTCAGAAGTTTTTAAAGTAATGTTATCCTTGATCTCAGCTGCAAGGGCCTTGGATGTATTGAATTTTACTCCTGTTAATGGGAAGACAATCAGGATCATGTATTCTCATAGAGACCCTAGCATTCGCAAGAGCGGGACAGCCAACATTTTCATCAAGGTACCCTTGTCCACTTATGCCATTTTTAACTATAAGCTTGTCATGGATATGTATACATACTCTTTCTGGTCTTCGTGGACATATTTCCTAAAGCTTTTCAGAACATTATTAAACTAAAATTTAAATGGCATATGCTAGATGCTGTTTCTTTTTCTGTGGATGTGTTTTCCTCAACCCTTCTTGATTGTAATGTCTTGTTTACAGAATTTGGACAAGGCTATTGACAATAAAGCCTTGCATGATACCTTCTCAAGCTTTGGTAACATCCTCTCGTGCAAGATAGCTACGGACTCTAATGGGCAGTCCAAGGGTTATGGTTTTGTACAATTTGACAATGAAGAATCTGCTCAAAGTGCTATTGACAAGTTAAATGGGATGCTGATTAACGACAAGCAAGTTTTTGTCGGTCCTTTCCTTCGTAAGCAGGAGCGGGATTCCGCATTGAGTAGGACCAAGTTCAACAATGTCTATGTGAAAAACCTCTCTGAATCTACCACAGAAGATGATCTTAAGAAAGTTTTTGGTGAGCACGGGACCATCACTAGTGCAGTGGTAATGAGGGACGCAGATGGAAAGTCGAAGTGTTTTGGGTTTGTCAACTTTGAGAATGCTGATGATGCTGCCCAAGCTGTTGAGGCACTTAATGGACATAAGTTTGATGACAAAGAGTGGTATGTTGGTAAAGCTCAGAAAAAGTCAGAAAGGGAGCAAGAACTTAAGACTCGCTTTGAGCAAAGCACAAAGGAAGTGGTAGACAAATACCAAGGAGTGAATTTGTATGTAAAGAATTTAGATGACACCATTGATGATGATAAGCTAAAGGAACTGTTTGCAGAGTTTGGCACCATAACATCATGCAAGGTATAAATTGGTTCCTCTCAACACCCCCCTCTCCCGTCTTGTGTTTTCAGTCGTCATTTTTCTCCTTCCATCTTCCAATTGCATTGCTGCCTTAATAGAGAGTTTAAAGTGAGGTTTTTCCCATTATGTTCTAGGTTATGCGTGATCCGAGCGGGATCAGCAGAGGATCAGGGTTTGTTGCTTTCACTACCCCGGAAGAAGCTTCTAGAGCTGTAAGTTAACTTCTTCAGAATTGGGCTGGCCAACTTTATTTGCGAAAGCTAATTAGGCTGTTTTTTTGGCTGTTGGCAGCTTACGGAGATGAATGGGAAAATGGTGGTTAGCAAACCACTTTATGTTGCTCTTGCTCAGCGCAAGGAGGAGCGAAGAGCTCGATTACAGGTTAAAGATTATTCTTCTCTTTACACTTCCTCTATTCTCTCACCTTGCAGGCTAGTTTCTTTGGTGATTTTGTTGACAAGTTGTTAGTATTATGTTGTTATGAATACAGTGGATCTTTCAAATATCATTCTGCCGCAATCTTAATAAGTAGATCCTCTTTCCAGTTTGCCTGTTATGTGTAAAATGGTGTGGTTCTGACTGTTAACATTTTTCTTAGTGGCTGGCACCATTAAGTCACAAAAAGAACCCCTTTTCCGCACTTCCTGTTTGTTCTCGTTTCTGATGGTGCTGTATGAAGGAATCTTTTGGCTCTGTAGAGTAGATGGCGCTTGTCGCCTTGGGTTTTCCTGTTTATGTTCTCATTTGATTACTGAATTTTGTTGCCTGCTTTTCCCCACATGGAAGTATAGTTGCGGCATAGTTCTGTGCTCTCTCTCTTGCACCAACTTGATGTTGTTCGAACATTCCCCTCTGTAAATGAATTTTAAAGCGGTACCACAGACATTGATGATTGGTAACCCTTAGATGTGTAAAGTTTATATTATGGTAACTGATAACAAAATTTTCTTTGCTTGGTCATGCAGGCTCAATTCGCCCAAATGAGGCCTGTTGCTATGGCACCAGCTATGGCTCCTAGGCTGCCAATGTATCCTCCTGGTGCTCCTGGTATGGGACAGCAACTATTTTATGGTCAAGCTCCTCCTGCTATATTACCCGCTCAGGTCTGATTAAAGAGAGATTTTTCTTTTTGTTTGTTTTTTGGAGTTTATGCTGAGCTTGATGTTTCTACAATTGGCTGTCTTGGCTTGTGTTTCTGAAGTTCGATTAGTGACCGGTTTAATCCTCCCTTGCGGTAGATAGACTGCAGCATTTGCTTATTTATAATTAGAAGGGATATGATTCTTTGGGCTTCTGTCGATTTTTGTTTGTAATATTGCTTTTTTTTTTTTGGGTTACTTTATATTGATTTGGTGTCTGCTCAAAATAGTTGAGGCTGCTCAGGTTGATCTGTTCATGTCTTCCTTTTTTCTTTGGGTGGGTTCTTTTTTTTATCAATGACCTGAATGGTGAGGAATGCCCCTTCTTTTTTGGGGTCATGCGCTTGGATCTCATGAATGTTACTTTGAAAATGCTTTAGGCGGCTGGATTTGGATACCAGCAGCAGCTTGTATCTGGAATGCGACCTGGTGGAGGTCCTATGCCTAACTTTTTCATGCCAATGGTCCAGCAAGGCCAGCAAGGCCAGCGGCCTGGTGGTCGCCGTGGTACAGGCCCTGTGCAACAAGCCCAACAGCCTGTTCCGATGATGCCACAGCAGGTCAGTTGTTCTCGGTGTCTTGCCCTCCCATGTGTAGGTATTAATGCAATTATCTGGTATTCATGATATGTACGTAATCGTTTGCAGATGATGCCAAGGGGACGGATGTTTAGGTATCCAGGTGGACGAAATGTTCCGGATGTGCCAATGCCAGGGGTTGCTGGAGGTATGCTCTCTCCATATGAAATGGGTGGGATGCTTCCTAGAGATGCTCCCATGGTTCAGCCAATGCCAATTACAGCACTGGCCACAGCACTTGCAAATGCATCATCTGAGCAGCAGCGAACGGTACAGTTTGCTACTAGACTTTCTCGATCTTTCAACATTCTTTCAACTGATTTCTAACCTAACCTTTCTGTGGCAGATGTTGGGTGAAAATCTGTACCCACTGGTTGATCAGGTTGAGCATGAACATGCGGCCAAAGTGACGGGCATGCTTCTGGAGATGGACCAGACTGAAGTGTTGCATCTGCTCGAGTCACCAGATGCTCTGAAGGCAAAAGTTGCCGAGGCGATGGAGGTCCTGCGGAATGTTCAGCAGCAGGCAGGCGGCGCTGCTGATCAGCTAGCCTCCATGTCGCTCAACGACAGCATTGTCTCCTGAGCGCGTGAAGTGACGATGGTGCAAGTGGGTTTTTGAAGAGTTTAATATGCTTTTGTAGTGGTGGTAGGATTGTAGGGGAGAGTTTTTGGGGATGGATTTAGGGTTTGAAGTCTTAGATATTATTCTCAGTTTGATCATTATTTTTGTGGGCTTCCTTTTGAAGATTTTGAAGTTCTCTCCCTGTTTTGGGTACCTTTTTAATTTATGGAAAACGTTTTAGCACTTTGTGACCTTTGAAACCATGAGATGTTGTGTTTGTCTGTTGTAGGGGTGTTCACGGTTTGGCTCAAACCGGTGGAACTGTCCAATTCGATCATTGGTTTGGATTAACGAGCGGATTATAATTATATTTTTAAACCGACGGATTGAAAAATTAAAAATCGGTCAATTCGGTCTGGATTACGGTTTGGTACTGTTAAACCGTCTGTCAATCCGGATCGGACCGTATATATTATAAAATAATATAAATATTGGTTTTGTATATATAGCGTCGGATAGAGACTTTGAAAGTGTTAAGTTGTTTTATTAGCATTGTTGTTGTTCCCTCTACATTAGACTTTGCTGAAGGGGTCGTGTGTTCGTATCCCCATGGACTAATTATTTATTTATTTTTTTTCAAGAAAAGCCTAAAAAAAAAAGTTGAAAAAAGCCCAAAAAATTTCAGGAAAAACTCTCCAAAAAAGGTCCAATAACAAAAAAATGTTTAATTTTATGCCCAAAATGAAAAAGTTCAATCAAAAGCCAAAATCGTTAAAAACAGATTGGATTGGTCCGAATTATATACCAATCCAGTCCAGTTAATTTTCAAACCGTAATGAATGGTTTGGTTACGGATTGCTATCAATCTGAACAATCCGGACCGTGAACACCTCTAATCTGGTGTACTGCTGTGTAATTGTCTGCAGTTGATTTATGGCGTTTTTGTTCTGAAAGTACCCAAGAATACTGGGGACTGGAGAGAGGTACTCGTCTACCTTTACACAAGTAACTATTAGGGAACCTTTTAGTATGTAGTAGTAGTATAATTATCAAAACCCTGAAACTGATAGTGTGCACAAGAAATCAATGCACTTGAAATGTAAAACGAGTAGTAGTGGTAGTTTCGGACGTTTCTTCAAAACTCGAGACTCAAAAGGTCAAAAACTGTGCCTGAGTTGAAAACGCTCTGGTCTTGGCATATATATGATAATAGGCAACTGTCATTCGGAAACTGCGAGGCAGGAGCTTTCGAAGTCTGAATAGTTATAAGAAAGAAAAAAAAAAGAGAGAGAATAATAGTCTTTTGTCTGATTCCTTGACTTTGAGCCAACGCAGATCCAGATCGGAGAAAGAGAGAGAGCTGCAGACATGAGTTCTCCTCCATCAGCTTCAGTCACTCTCATCTCCGATTGTTTCATCAAACCAAAATCCATCCCAGAAGAATCGAAGCAACCACTCCACTTGTCTACATGGGATTTACGTATGCCTTGTGCGCAATACATCCAAAAAGGTCTCCTCTTTGCCAAGCCGCCTTCTTCCAACAGTGATGCCCAAATGCAAGACCTCTTGCTGAAACTGAAAGAGTCTCTTTCCCTTACCTTGGTTCATTTCTATCCATTAGCAGGTCGGCTTGCAACACTGAAACAAGAAAATCCCCCAATCTACACCATCTTTGTAGATTGTAACAACAGCCCAGGAGCCAGATTTATTCATGCGTCCGTTGACTTGACAATTGCTGATATTCTTTCACCCACTGATGTTCCAGTGATTGTTCAATCCTTCTTTGATCACCACAAGGCAATTAATCACGATGGTCATACTCTGTCTCTGTTGAGCATCCAAGTCACAGAATTGAAAGATGGGATCTTTATTGGTTGCTCTGCAAATCATATGCTTGTTGATGGCACATCTTATTGGCATTTCTTCAACACATGGTCGGAGATATTCAATGCCAAGGCGGAAAATATAGCCATCTCCAGGCCACCAATTCATAAGCGTTGGATTCCTGAAGGTTATGGACCAGTTATCAGCCTTCCATTTACTCACCATGATCAATTCATCCAGAGACATGAAGCACCACAATTGAGGGAAAGATTTTTCCATTTCTCAGCGGAGTCTTTGGCCAAATTGAAAGCAAAAGCAAATGCTGAATGCAACACTACTAAGATTTCTACTTTGCAAGCATTGTCTGCCCATGTTTGGAGATGCATCATCAGGACTAGGAATTATCCACCTGATCAGGAAACGAGCTGTAGAATGGCAACCAATAACAGGCACAGGTTGAATCCGCCTTTGCCGGAAGACTACGTTGGGAACTATATTCAGCCAGTTCAAGCCATTGCTACTGCTGGTGAATTGCTTGAAAATGGGATTGGATGGTCAGCCTGGAAATTGCATCAGGCTGTCCAAAACCATACTGATGAAGTGATTCGAAAAGCGGTTGATGGTTGGTTAAAATCGCCTGTCATATACCAAATGAGCCTCTTTGATCCTTACAGCATTATGATGGGAAGTTCTCCAAGGTTTAACAAGTATGGAAACGAATTCGGCCTAGGGAAAGCACTAGCACTTCGAAGTGGCTATTCGAATAAGTTTGATGGGAAAGTTTCATTGTATCCTGGAGCTGAAGGAGGAGGAAGTATGGACTTGGAGACTTGCCTTCTACCTCATTCCATGAGTCTTCTTGAATCAGACCCCGAGTTTATGGGAACTGTTAGTTTGTGAAGTCCTAGTATTATGTTGTAATGATGTGGGAGGTGACGGAAAGATTCCACCTTGTTCCTTCTCCAGCTTGGAAATTTGTAGCATTTCTTGACTAAATAAATGCATAATGCAATAATTGTGGGTTGAAATTTCAGTTTGTTGCATTTCAGTTTTTTCCTCATCATGTTTTGTCCTCCCCTGAGTTGGATTTCTGAAAGCCCTGAATAGTTTTCCATGATATGGAAACTTAGAAACAGAACTGTATTGGTATGAATTGCGAATTTGGAAGAAGGAACGAATTTGCCTTTCTTTTGGAACCAGTAGGAAGACTTGTATGAGGTGATCGTTGCACATTATATAAAAACTCGTGATCATTATGTTACTATCAGAAGACAGAAGCAAAACTGATGAATACCTTCCAACTTTTACCTCAATCTTTCCAAAACGTGTGAGCTACTCTTCTGTGCATCTGGAAATTGTGAGGAAGCATCAGGGACATCAGAGTAGTTATTGCATTCAGATTGACCTCCGACGAACTATTTTTCTGCTGTTGAAAATTCAACTTGAAAGCTGCTGCTAATTTTAGGCAAAAAAAGCTCTATATTAAAAGGGCTTGTGAGAAGGGAAATACTGCAGATCTTAACACACTGACTAAAATCACAGCAATGGGTTCTCAATCCACTTTGGTTCATCATATCTCCGAATGCTTTGTCAAACCAAAACACATTCCAGAGGAATCAAAGAAACCAATATAGTTAGCCCCATGGGATTTACTGATGCCTTGTTTTCAGTACATCCAGAAAGGCCTCCTCTTTGCCAAGCCTCCATCCTTCAACACTGATACCCAAATGAAAGACCTCTTGCTGAAACTGCAGGACTCTCTTTCCCTCACTCTTGTTCATTTCTATCCATTAGCGGGTCGTCTCGTGACTCTGCATCAAGAAAATCCCCATATTTACACAATCTATGTGGACTGTAACAATAGCCCTGGAGCTAGATTTATTCATGCATCCGTAGACTTGACCGTTGATGATGTTCTCTCACCAACTGATGTGCCAGTGATTTTTCAGTCATGTTTTGATCACCACAACGCCATCAATCATGATGGCCATAACCTTTCTTTGCTGAGCATTCAGGTTACAGAGTTGAAAGATGGGATTTTTATTGGTCGCTCTGCAAACCGCATGCTTGTTGATGGAACATCTTATTGGCATTTCTTCAACACATGGTCCGAAATCTTCAGTGCCAAGGGAGAAAATGTAGTCATCTCCAGGCCGCCTATCAATACGCGTTAGACTCCCAGTTCGAGTTATTTTCAATGTATTGTAAGGACACAACTAATAAGTTGTGTCTATTATTGGCTTCCAATATATTGTAGAGACACAACCAATAAGTTGTGCCTATTGACTCCATACGAAAAGATATTAACAAAAATTTATGTCTATGACCATAAATAAGGGTTATGTTTAATTCTCAAGAGTTTCTTAAAACTTAGTGTACAATGAAATCACCAAATACTTTGATTATTTTCAATGACATTTCGTATCCTTGTATCCGATTGTTGGTTTACTAAAGTGCATAGTGAAACAACATGATCTCCATTTTATCTCATAGAAAATTCGGCTAGACAATTGCACTGTATAGTGGCCAAATTTAGTTTAAAGGAAAGCAAGTTTATTTGTGATTTGGAGACAAAACTTTCTTTTATCCTAACTATAAATTCTTCGTCTTGTTCTTTGATCAAGTACAGCTATTGTTGTCCACTATTCTTGAGGTAAAATTTCAACACTCCCAAAGGGCATGGACCCATTGTCAACCTTCCATTCACTCACCATGATCAATTCATCCAAAGGCACGAGGCTCCTCCATTGAGGGAAAGGATTTTTCACTTCTCAGCAGAGACATTGGCTAAACTGAAAGCAAAAGCAAACGTCGAATGCAATACTACGAAGATTTCTTCCTTGCAGGTATTGACTGCTCATGTTTGGAGGTGCATCACAAGGGCCAGGAATTTCCCACCTGATAAAGAAACAAGTTGTAGAATGACAATCAACAACAGGAGGCGGTTCAATTCGCCCCTGCCGGAGGACTATGTTGGCAATTATGTTCAGCATGTGCAGGCTGCAACTACTGCTGGTGAATTGCTGGAAAATGGAATTGGATGGTCAGCCTGGAATTGAATCAGGCAGTCCAAAACCATACTGATGAAGTGATTCGAAAAGCGGTTGATGGTTGGTTAAAAGCGCCATTTTTAGTCCAGCTGAGCCATTTTGATCCTTCCAGCATTATGATGGGAAGTTCTCCAAGGTTGAACAAGTGTGGAACGAATTCGGATTAGGCAAAGCAATAGCACTTCAAAGCAGTAATTCACACAAGTCTGATGGGAAAGTTTCATTGTATCCTGGATCTGAAGGTGGAGGAAGCATGGATTTGGAGACTTGTCTTCTGCTTCACATTATGAGTCTTCTTGTATCAGACATGGAATTTATGGAAACTGTTACTCCGTAAAGTACTACATATCCTCCTCCTATGTGTTCACTTTGAATTTTAAAATTTATTTAATTTTTAGTACAAATATAAATATCAATGTGAACTATGCCATCTGTCCCAAAACTGGAGTAATATATTACTTGCAAAGAATGTAATGTGATATAGAAAAGAATAGAGAAGCTAGTTTTTTTTTTTTTTTTTTTGCATATTAAAGGGTGTCCACTCTCGACAACAGTGACTAATCCCCTTCGCTCATAATAAACACCTCGACGGGTGAGAGAGTGAATAAAGAAGTTAGCTGATTATTACTATTATTATTGTTGTTATTATTATTGTTTTTACCTTTCAAGAAATAAACTTTATCTGAGAAACTGTTTTCTTGGAGCCCACTATTAAGACTTATTGTGCTCAGCAGGAAATGCTTCACCAGAAGTACTGTTTATTTTAGCAATTTCAACCACAGGTATCAAAAGAAGCCCAATTCAAACGGGCCTCTTTTTAAAGAAACATAAGAGGCCCGGCATGAAACAAAAATAGAAAAAGCCCTGTAATAGTTTTCTCCTTCCGTCGTCTCCGGCATGGCCAATCGTGAAAAATACAACACAATCGTTTGGCGGCCGTGGGACCTTCCTGAACCCCCCGGTTCCGTCCCTGGTTGAGATAATTATTCAAAACATGATGTAGCCTGTTCAATGTAACATCATAGAAATCTTACTAGATTTCGGTGCTGAAATTTTGCAATGCAATTTGCTTCGATCATGACATTATGTTCATTATCCTTTACGAGACATATAACAGTAAATACCATGTCTGTTATCCAGCTTTTTTTGAAAAAAAAAAAAAAAAGATATGATGCTAAATACATGATCTCTATCATATCTACATTTCTTAGAAATTTGAAGAAATGCATATGTGCAGAATGTGCACATTGACATTGGTGCATATTTCATTTAGGCCAGAATGTGCGAATTATTGGAAGGTCTCCAATTTATGATCTTCTTCATGTACTTAAAAGTTAACAACAAATTTAGTACTAAGTCAAGGTCTAGGAAACAAACATCAAATTATAATTCAAACTGTACCTTGTTGATGGTGAAGTATATGAGTTTAACAATTACAACATTCCAAACTGCCAGCACAATGTTTCAACTCACAAGTAAGAGTTAACCAACAAAAAAATGGATGGATGCAATAAAAATCCAACAAAACAGTCCAAAAGTAAATCACCTTGGCTACAAAACACTCCAACCGATAAAAAAAAAAAAAAAAAAAGAATACAAACCACATGGTTTAAGTTCAAAAGTCCTCGTCAAGTGTATTTCGGAATAAAGACAAATACATGGTAAGTAGATCAAGTGTAGCTATTGTCCCCATTAACCCTGCCTAACAAATAAGGGTATTTTCACTCTTTGTTAAGAACTTCTCGGACTCGAATTCAGACAACAGTTTTCCCCTTTGGGTTTTTGTTGACCGGATTACTCTTATGTACATTACTGGAACGACGATCAGAAATTAATTGATTCTGTTTTTCTCTCATATAAGAAGAGGGAAAAGAAAAGGTCTAAAAAAAGAAGATAGAAAGAGCCGAACCAATTAAGGAAAAAGGTTAATTTATCGGGAAAGAATAACACCATTTTAAGTAAACATGAGGACGTGCTGAAACCAATTATTGTTTCTGCTCCCAATTAGTTGTCTAAACGGTTGATTTTAGTATGTAGCATAAATATTCACAATTGTCATCTCCTTCTTCTCTTCATCATCCCCTTTCTCTGTGCTCCACTTCCCTTTGCCGCCTCGCTCGTCTCTTCTCAAAATCTTAATAATTTCTTCAGGGCACCCACAGTGCTCTCCATTTATTACTCTCTGGGGGGTATTTGCCGATGTGCATTTTAAGGTAAGGCTTCTTCGATGAGGGCAAGGATCCGCAAGTGCCCTCGCCTGACGTTTCCGGTGGATCCATTCTACTGTTTACCGGAGTTGGTCATCGTCGACATCCTTTCCCGTCTCCCAACTAAAGATGCTGTTAAAACAAGTGTGCTATCCAAACGGGTGGAAAAGTTTGTGGACTAATATTGTCCCCACCTTTGATTTTGAGTTACAGGGCCAAGAAGAGGAAGGTAACAAAAAGATGGCTTTTGTGCAGTTTATTAATAACGTGTTTCTTCACAATGTTGTTAAGAACTTGGAAAGGTTTCGACTTTCGTGGTGGCCTAATGAATCTGAAGTAGCTTATCTTAACATGTGGGTGCATCATGCCATAATTCATCGAAATGTTAGGAACCTTTATCTTCAGATCGGAACTGGTTTTGTTTGTGATGTACCTGCGGAGCTATTCACTTCTGGTAGCCTGGAATCACTCAATCTATGTGGCCCGTTTGTTCTTAAGGTCTCAGACAGGGAAGTTTGTCTTCCCAAAATCAAACACGTGTATCAAAATATGAATCGGGTGAGTGTTTGAACAAACTTGTCTCTGGTTGTCCCGTGCTTGTTTCTCTTACTTTTGGGTGTTGTGCCGAGGACAAGATCACTGTTTTTAAGATCGCTTCCCTTTCATTGAGAAATCTTCGTGTCCATTGCTTCAATTGCTGGCCTGCTCTGCAATTAAATGCGCCAGCTCTTCAATTCCTTTTGAAATCGACAAATCCTAAAAATATAGTGGGTGTTTATTCTTTTGGTGATGCTGTCAAGGGCCCAAAGATCAGTTTTCTATTTCGGTAGCCAGGTTGGTTCAAATGCAGCACCAAGCAAAGTGTCTGATGTTACAGGGCAAAGTGGCGGATGCTCTTCACTTTGCAAATGTCGGCCTAGTCAAATGGGCCGATTAATGGAATTGCGTATCCAACTCCACTGTTGCAAATGGAGCTGCCTGAATGTCATGCTCGAACAGTCGACCATGTTACAAGTGCTTGTCATTTTGATGGAGGGTGAGTGTGATGCAGACACTCACAAGTTAAGTTGGAGGGATCCCAGCCAAGTTCCTAAGTGTTTGTCTTCCAGTCTCTCAAAGTTCTCATTGAAGGGATTGGTAGGCCAAAAAGATGAAGTCGCGATGATCAGGTATATCCTAAAGCACGCCACAGTTCTGAAATTTGTTGATCTAGTCTCCAGGCCTCCTACTAGGTCGACTAATGATTTGGAATTCAAGTTTCACATGCTTCGGGAGTTATCAATGTTCCACAGAGGTTCTGTTAACTGTGAGGTGAGATTTCTCTCTCTTTTTTTTTTTTTTTATAGTTCGATGTTGCTTTTTAAAATGGATTGGATGCCATCACCTGGAAACGTAGTTGTGTTTCATTTTGGTTGCTTCTTAGACATCAGCGTTGTATATTTTTGGATTAATGGATGATGATTTGAACCCCCCAACTGGAGTTAAGTGTGATGAAACAATTCATCAATTTATTTGTCAAGTTCAACAGAATATTATAAAGTGTGAATTGTAACTTTCATTGGGTTTATTTGTCCAGCTCTCAAAGAACAATGTTATTGATAGAATGGTCCAGTTGCTTCATTCAGGAAGACAACTGATCTGGCCAATGCTCTCTATTGAGGGAGAGATTATCAGCTTTCATCCTATTGTACAACCCCTAGGCAGGAGCCTTCGCAATGAAGATATACTCTGTATTATCTACATCACCATTTTTGCTATGCTTATCCATCAACCACATAAGAATTTTAAACAATTGCCTTAAGGGATCCTGTGATCTCCTGCTTTCTGCAAAATGGAATCAGTTTCTCCCTCCGCTTTATTAGAGATCCTTTGGTTTGTTTAGCATCTCATGATTGGCATACACCTTTAAGAGTGCGAGAGAAATGCTTTGATGACATCTTACTCCATTTCTTCGACATCAACTTTCCCAAGCTTCAAGCCTTCAATGGTTGCCAAGCACACGGTAATCATATGGAGATCATTCTATGAAATAGCTCGCTGTAATTAACAAGTCTTCGGTAAGCCTCGTCTATATAAAAAATAAACTAAACCACAGAAAACGTTCCATACATTTTAGACAAAAACACATATATTTCAAAATGCTCATTTTCGTCCAAAAACTATAGCTTTTCGACTATTTACGTCTCAAGTCAATTTTCCGTCCGATCGTCCGTCAATATACATGGGCATTTTGAAAGAATTATTGATGAGGAGATGATGCCCTGGAAGATGGTTAAGTTATTTTGAATTTCAACCACAATAGAATCACACTTGGGTTTCGGATCTCGATACGCTTATGTTGGAAGCAGCAGCCATTGAACTTCAATTATCCCCAAAATTCCCTTTTTCTTTCCATTTCTTTTACTAGATGTTAGACCTGCAAGATGTGCAGGGTTTATACATATACATCTATTAAAATATATTTTTAAACTTTAAATGTGATTAATACAAATAAAGTAACTGGTTTGTAATAATAAATATATGATTAAAATTAAATTATATCGTGATAAATAAAATTGTTATATATACTTTGAAATGACAACATTTTATAAATGGTATGCCAAAAATGTAATTAAATAATGGAATATGTATAAGGATTATATACAAATAAAAGTAAAAAAGACCACCAAAATAATAAATCAGATGTTATATGTCATATAAATCAAAGCAATTTATGTCTACACGGTTAAAAGCGCATGTTAATCAAGATTGCACACAATTGGAGAAAGAGACACCTTACATGTTAAATAAAACATGATCGGAGTGAGGTCGTCGCCGCAAAGATGTTTTGTAAAGTATATAAGATGCTTCGCTTCAGTGTTTCACCGGTTGTCATTGTACATGTTAGAGTTAGACCGAAGTGGATATTTATAGTGAATGTCTGAATGAGATATCATAACCAGTAACTAAAGTAAAATTCATAACTATGGAATAAAGATGATAACGTCACGTTGATTAAGGGATAAGATTGGTGGGGAAATGACTTCCATTGCATTAATGTTGATTAGTCTTTTTCAATTAAATTTGATTAGTTTTTAATCACTAAAGAATTCCCACTTTCCCGCACATTGAACTTAGGTTTTAAATCAATCAAGTAGTGATTTTAGGGATGATTTTGTAGAGAGTTTTTTTTTTTATTCGAATTGGTTGGGGTAAAAAAATTCCGGTGAATTAATGTTGAAAATAATAAATGCCTTATCCCTTTGAACTTATAATTTAAATCAATCAATTAATACTAATTGGAGATTATTTTTGGGAGGGATTATTTTTGGAAGGGAATAATTCTGGTGCGTTAATATTCATTAATCCCGTCCATTAAATTTAATTAATTTTTATTTTCCTATTTCAAACTATAGTTTTAAATGCCATTTAATAAAAATTTATTTACATAAAATTTGAAGGACTATTAGTATAATTTTTGTAAATATTTTTTGACTCGATCAATAGAAAAATGACACATATGATTTTATCCTATGTGGCACCTATAGAATTCTTTTTTGTTTTCTCTCTCTGATTTCTCTCTTAGTATAATATATTATAGATTGGCAAAATGATGAAGGACGTCACCAGGGGCTGCAGTGGCAAACTACTTCTTTTTTTTTCTTTTTTTTTTTTTTTGCTTTTTTATTTGAAACAAAATTTGGCTCTGATTTGGAAATATTATTGCTACCTTGAGTTTTTACTTTGTTCTTTGGATATGCAGTTTTGTCAATATGATTAAATTTAGACTCAGTTTGGTTAGATTGAATTGTAATTGAATTGGAATTATAATACTGTTGAATTGAAAATGAAATATTGAAATTATAATTCAATACTAATTCCTTTGTTTGAGAGATCTTGAAAATTGACTAGAATTAAGATTATAACACCAATTCTTGCGTTTGGATGCATAAATTGGATACTTTAAAACTGAAATTAATTTGTTATTATATAAATAATACAATTTATACTTCATGTGTATTAGACTACTTTGTGGTTTGTTCAACTAGTATAAGTTTTGCTTTTTTTAAAAAAAATATTTTTTTATTCAATTTGCTATATCAATTTTGTAAGTTATTATGTACACAGCTTTTTATTAGAAACACAAGAAATATTATTACGTAAGAATTAAATATGTTACGTAGAATTCTCATTTAACAGACACACAAGTAACATACAAAACATTCTTTTTTTTTTCTTGAGGAAAACGTATAAAACATTCTTGTTTTCCTGTCTTTTACTATTTTTTAAAGTTTAAATTTTTTATATTTTTATTTTTATAAAAAATTTAAAAATTTTAGGATGTAACATTTTGAATTCATTTTATGAATATTAATGTCCATTTATATATAGATTGACATCAATATATAATATATGCTTACATTTTTTTATTTTTGGTATATAATTATATATGAAATAATAAATACTTAAAACTCGAGATACATAATTTTTGGTGAAAAGATGCCATGTATAGTTTAAAATTTATATGCATATATTATAACAATAATATAGGTGTACATATGGAACAATTTATATATATATATTTTTTTTAAAAAAAAAAAATTATATATTGTTTAGTATGTCATAATATAATAAAATATTTTAACCCGAAACTAGAATATTTATGTATGTTAATTTTTTTTTGGGTACAGTTATACTTTTGATATTTTTTGTAAAAAATATGTAATGTTTATTTTAGGTTGATTTCGTTGATGATATAATAGTAATAATATAATAATTATTATAAGACAAAGAGCCCAAAAAAGAAAGACAAAAATTATTAAAAAAAAAACTCCAAAGCAAGCGCTGAAAGAAAAAAAAAACAGAAAAGAAAAAGGAAAAAAAAAAAAGCAGCGCTGTAGCGCTGGAAAAAAAACAATTAAAATATTTTGTTTGTTTTTTTTAAAAAAAAACAAGGTCAAAAGGCAAAAAAATGAGAGGTGACCGGTTTAGAATATAACCTGAGAAAGACCCGGTTTGGACCAATGTCTTTTCTTTAAGTCCCTTGAATTTGAATTCAAATTATTTACTCTCACAAAAGAATTGAAAATAAAGAATTGAACCCCAAACCGAATTGTAATTCTAATTCTTAGACTACCATTTTTATCAACCAAATACAAAAATTGGAATTAGACAGTTCCAATTCTAATTTTTGATCCCAATACAATACAACTAAACAGAGCCTTAATAGAATTGGACAGGTTTTGAATAGGTTCTTCGTTTTTGTTATTGGTATGATAAAACGAAATGTAATTTACACAAATCTCTGTTTTAGGACTGAATTTTTGGCATATTTCTGGAAAACTGATAATATTGAATAGAATTTGTACAAATCTTTTCTAGGATGTTAATTGTTTAGCTAGTATTCAATAGTTGTAATTTAGCTGCGCAATTGTAATTTAACTAGTATTCAACAGTTTAAAAGCTGAATTAATCTTTAGGGCGGGCTGGCTTACAAGTTCACCATCCTTTACAAGTAACTTCATCATTATTTTGTCATCAAACCAAAGCAAATCCCGGAGGAATCAAAGAAACCGATATACTTGTTTACACGGGATTTAGCAATGTCCTCTTCTCAATACATACAGAAAGGTCTCCTCTTTTCCAAGCCTCCATCTTTCAACAGTGATGGATAGGTATAGGTATAGAAGTTATGGGTTCCACCTTAAAACCAATTAGCAATGAGAGGAGTAAGCTCATGATGTTTATATACTTATATCAAATTTCTCCCACCGATGTAGGATACTCAACACTCCCTCGCAAGCCCGACACATCTTCTTGGTTTGGGATTATCTATTTTTCTTCAGCTCAATTACCGCCTCACGTTTCAGCCCTACCAATTCTATCACATCAAACTTGGAATCCGACTCTTGACGGACTAGTCCTGATATTATATAGAAGCTCATGGGTTCCACCTCAAAACCAATTGGCAATGAGGGAAGTAGCTCATGGTGCTTATATAGTAATATTAAATCTCTCCCACCACCACCACCGATGTGGGATACAGGGATGGAAGATTTGTTGGTGAAGCTTCAGGGCTCTCTGTCTCTTGCCCTGTTTCATTTCTACCCTGTAGCTGGTCGCCTGAAAACACTGGATCAAGAAAATCCCCGGATTTATACCATTGATGTTGATTGCAATGACAGCCCTGGAGCTAGATTTATTCACGCATCCGTTGACTTGAGAATTGATGATATTCTCTCTCCAACTGATGATGTTCCAGCAATTGCGAAGTCATTCTTTGATCACGACAGGGCCGTCAACTGATGATGTTCCTGCAAATAAGCTTGATGGGAAAATTATGTTGTTTCCAGTTAGAGATGGTGGAGCGAATATTTGACAGGGAGATCTGTCTTCTCCCTCATGGAGACTGTTTCCTAACAGATTGTACCGTACGTACTAGCTTCATGGAGAGAACCTATCATTATTCATGTTTGTGTTTCAGTTCTTTTTCTCTTCCTTGTCTCTCCCTAAAACAATTTTCTCTTGAATCGACTTGTGTATCAGACGATGTATTACTCTGATCTTAGGTTGGAGATATTAGATTGTCCAAAATAGCAAGCGGCTGGAAATGTGTAATGTCGTAATGTTTTTGTGGTATTAAATACTCCCTCCCTCCGTCCCATAATTATTGTCCCGTTTGGATTTTCATTTCTAGTTCAAATTATATTAAAAGTGAAATCTCAAACTGGACAATAATTTTAGGACAGAGGGAGTATGTCTGTTTTGTTTCTGGGAAAACCCCAAAAAGCAAAATCAAGAAGAAGTTTGATCCCTAAGTAAATCTTTTATGGCTTAATCCTTGGTTAAGAAACCTGTGTTCATTTCTTTTTTCTAAAAATAAAATTTCTACATCTTACGCGTGACTGAAGTATGAATGATGATTAGATCTGCAGACATGGGCTTTTTGAGATTTTGAATACTTAAAACTTACAAGTCTCGCTGTTTAAGAGTTTATATCAAAGAGGCCTTTAACCACGCTCGAACCAAATTACACACAAAGATTCATCCTTGTTTCTTCACCAGTTTGGAAATAGAGAACATTCTCTTGACTGAATGAGCAATTTTTGGCTTTAAATTTCAAAAGATATCTTTCATTTTTATTCTAACCTCATGATGTAATGCCTTTCTCTTCGGATCTAGTTCGTTGCCTTTTTACGGAACCTCAGAAACCTACCCCAAGTATTGATAAGATCACATGGAGAGTCTGCATTACCCTTTTTATCCATGTTTGCAGTATAAAGCTAATGCAGAGTCTTCAAGGGCTAAAGTTAGGAACAATCCGCGATTTCGGTCAAAGACAGCGAATCCATGACTTCTGTGTTAACTCGTCACTACAGATCCCTTGTTGTATTAAAAAAGAGGTTAAGTACATTTTGAACTGTTCGATTGGGCTAAAAGAAAAGACTTTGTGATCACTATTCCAGTTTGATTGTTCTCAAGTAATTTTAGATCTATAAATTCAGGTCCATGGTGGTAGGTATTAATAACTACTTAATTGCCTTGAATCATGTATGCTAGCAGCAAATTAAATTGCTGGCATGGAGTTGTCAAAGGCCCAATGCAGATATAAACTGAGAAGACATGTGATGCTGCCTACCGATTTTATTTACATTCTAATACTCCTCTATCTCAAAATGATCGTCTAATTTAGATTCTCACTTTTAGTAAAATTCAAACTAGATAATTATTTTAAGACGGATGGAGTATTATTACTTTTCATGTAGTTTAAGGTCACTGTCCATTTTTTTCTTTATTTATTTCATTTGGGTTCATTTTTTTACCTCTTTTTATTTCTTTGCCAAAAAGATATCAGTCTGATTCCGACCTTGTAGTGTAAGAGAAATGAGAATATAAGAAATTCACCTAGTGAATAATATTCCTGATTCCAGACTACAATGAGGTTATATCTCTCATACCAGGTCAAATCAAAGGGAATCAAAACTTTGGAGTGAAAAATTTTGTTGAAGAACCTTCCCACGTTTCGAGTTATGATAACTTGTTGGAGGCTTCCTAGAAATAAACAGAGTTTCCTCTACATATAAACCTGAACTAAAATTTTAAACTCAACAAGCAATTGATGTCTAAGTTAATGAGTTATATTGTTACTTATAGTTAGTTCTTAGAAAATAAAAATAAAAAATGGCAGTTCTTGATGGCTTCACCTACCAGTGAGTGATAGTGATTGAAACTGATTTGTATATATATGAGCTAGTGAGATATCTTGAAGACTTAAACTTAGTTTCTGTCAAGGTAGTCGTCTAATTAAGTGTAGTGTATATCAAAGAGGCATTTTCAGCATGTTCGAATCAAAGTACACAAAGATTCAACTCTACCTTGTTCCTTCACCAGTTTGATAAATTAATAATAACAGTTGTTGACTGAATGAGGCAGACTTGGTTTTAAATTTCAATGTTTCGTTTTCAGTTTTTACCTCATCTTGTTTTGTCCTTCTCACTCAGTAGAACTTATTGAATTTTATCCACAAGCACTCAGTTATTGAGAAGATCCCATACTTCCAATCAATTGTCAGCTCGTTACTGATAGACCTTTGATGTAAAGCATCTTATCAGCTCCAATATATAACCTCATATTGTAGCTTTCACAGATGCACTTCTGAAAAATAATATCAGTGGAGAAAGTCCATGAAAAAAGAAAAACAAGAACACAAAAATCAGCTAACTCTTGTTTGTGGTTGATTGCGAATTTTGACTACCAATATTGATGCGTATGATGGACACCACAAAGAGTTGTTTTGATAATACAAAAACGACTCCTTTCAATGATATAGAACAGATGTTGATTCAAATAAAGGGTCCTTTTCAAGATTTGTTTTTGGTGGTTAGATTCAATTATGACATTTTTTGGTACTTGTCCTTCTGAATACCAGAGTGCAGATTTGGCCCCCCAAAAAAAATTTTCCCCTCACATTTCACGAAGAGGATGAGCATTAATGTTCTGTCCCAACAAACAGCATAAATATGGAAATGTGGAGCAAAATTCGATCACAAGCCAAAAGCTGAATTCTTAGGGTTATTAGTTCATTTGGAAACCAGGGATTTCATTTTGCAGTATATAGGGCCTGTGGAAAAAAAAATGTTGAGTTCTCCAGCAGTTGAAATCATTTCTGAGTGTTTTATCCAGCCTAAATACACCCCTAAAGAGGAGTGTAGGAAGCCATTACAGTTGTCACACTGGGATCTACAACTGTTGACTGTCCACTATAACCAAAAAGGCCTTCTTTTTGCCAAGCCTCCATCTTTTAACACAGATGAGAACCAAATGAAAGATTTCCTTGAGAAGCTCAAGGACTCTCTTTCAATCGCCCTGGTTCATTTCTATCCTTTGGCAGGCCGTCTTGCAACTCTTCCACAAGAAACTCCGCCAACTTGTTCCGTTTATGTCGATTGTGCCAATGGCCCTGGCGCTAAATTTATCCGCGCATCCCTGAATTTGACAGTCAAGGATATCCTTTCGCTGATTCATGTACCCAAAATTGTCTACTCCTTTTTCGACCATGTTGGGGCAATCAACTACGATGGACACAACCTGCCTCTGATGACCATTCAGGTCACAGAGTTGATTGACGGCATCTTCATTGGACCCTCCATCAATCATTCATTAGTGGACGGGACATCTTTTTGGCATTTCATCAATTCATGGTCCGAAATCTTCAATGCGAAAAAAATCCAGGGGATGATGGACCAACCGACATTCAGTACTGTTCTCTCCAGGCCACCTATTCATAAGCGCTGGATACCTGAGGAGTATGGACCCATCCTCAGCTTGCCTTTCTCTCACCCTGATGAATTCATCTTTAGATACCACGACGAATTCCCTGAACTGAAGGAAAAGGTCTTTTATATATCATCAGATTCGTTACAGAAACTCAAGGCGAAAGCCAAAGCAGAATGTGGTACAGCCACTATTTCTACCTTCCAGGCTCTAGGTGCTCATGTCTGGAGGTGCATTACCAGGGCTCGGAATCTTCCCCCGGATGAAACTACAAGATTTTGCTTTTCCGTTGACAACAGATCCAGGATTAGCCCTCCATTGTCGCCGGATTATTTTGGCAACAGCATTCAGGTCCTAGCAACTACAGTTACTTGTGGTGAATTAATGAACAATGGACTCGGGTGGGCAGCCCGAAAGCTGAATGAGCTAGTCATCAATCAGACGGACAAATCAGCTCGTGAATGGGCTGAATCGTGGGCGAAAGTACCGACATTTGGGAATCTCGCCAAGCTTGGCGTTGGCAACATAGTCCAGGTTGGTAGTTCTCCTAGGTTCAATGTGTATGGGAGTGATTTCGGACTTGGTAAAGCTTTAGCAGTTCGAAGTGGATTCGGGAATAAGTTCGATGGGAAAATAATGCTGTTTCCAGCAAGAGAAGGGGGTGGAAACATTGAAATGGAGGTTTGCCTTCTCCCTTCCTTCATGACTTGTTTTGAATCAGATGATGAACTCTTGCAGATAGTTTCTGAACCAAGTCCTATGAGCTAGTGTGATTTCCATGGTGATGATGGTGTTTTGCTTTCAAAAATGAGGTTCGATTGTTCAAATTGTATGAAAGTTTAATAACTTGCGAAATTGAGTGTAAAATGTTACTTGGGAATGCTACTCATTATAAGGCCCTTTAATCTTTCTTAATAAAACTCTTAACTACTTCATTTGCTTTCTAATTTGGGGCAATTCAAGTTTCAAGTTACGACTTTCCTTTTTCCACAACTTACACTAAACTGAACAAGACTGAAAATCCCTTCTAAAAGAATAACATCTTGATCTCAAAATGATTGCCCTATATTGTACTACAAATTTAGTGAGATACGTAAACTAGAGCAGCGCCCGCGGAAGAAAACAGGAAACAACAAAATTGTCGGTTCGAACTCGGCTTTGCAATTTGGCAAATCTATAACCTGAATTAAATAATGGGAAACTGATTGAATTGAAGAATGTGAATGGAGCTTTCGATATCATTCGATACTTAAACTTAAAACACATTGATGGAGTCAGAAATTTGAAAAAAGACATAGAAGTAAATTTACAAAAATAACTAATAATATTTTAATATTTTAGAAAAATGTGCGAAAATGAGCTAAATATACAAAGTTCTACTAAATTTAGCATTGCGGCCGCACCTGCGCCTTTCTTTCCTAGCTCCGCCACCGTTAAAACATAGTCATTTGGTCTCAAAATCAAAATCATAGTGACAATCAGTTTTTGAAACAAAGAAAGTAATAAATTTTCACTATCCCATATTTGATATGATATATTGAAGTTAAAACTAACGAACACACATCTTTGTTGTTAACATTATATATTTTCATTTTTTTTTTAATTTTTTGGGTTATTCAATTCAACGATTTATCGGAATCATCTTTTTTACATATCATCAAACTAGTAAAACTATAAAACAAAGCATCAGTAAAGGTATCTTAATTACTGAATATTACATACCTCAGTGTATAGTAGAAAATGAGAACATAATGTAAGTAATGTTCCCATATAAATAATAGAGGGGAGTTACGTTTAAAAAGAGCTTCTCGGAATTTGGTTGCATTCAATGATTCAATTGCCACACTGTTGTGGACAATTTCGTACGAAACATTTTAATATATCACGTGTAAGCATTAAATTTGTGTCCAACTGAACACATGGAGAGCCTGAAGACTTACCTAGAGGATAGTAAATAATAACTATAGAGTACATTACTAATAAAAAATAAAAAGCATATATTCAACCACATGTTAGAAGCTGGATAATTGGGCGCTGGCCTTACTTGTTTCATTAGCTGGAAACTGGGTTCTTGATTCTGCTACAGAAGAAAAGCCTGCAAAAAAATGTTGAGTTCTGAAGCTGTTGAAATTGAATTCATTTCCGAGTGTTTTATACCCCCAAAATGCATCCCTGAAGAGTCTAGGAAGCCATTTTACTTGTCTCCATGGGATCTGCAACTAGTTGGTTTACACTATAACCAGAAGGGACTTCTCTTTGCCAAGCCTCCATCTTTTCACACTGATGATAACCTTGTGAAAGAGTTCCTAGAGAAGCTCAAGGACTCTCTTTCAATCGCCCTGATTCATTTTTATCCTTTGGCAGGCCGTCTCGTGACTATTAAACACGAAAATCCTCCAACCTGTTCCATTTTTGTTGATTCTGCCAATGGCCCTGGTGTTAAATTTGTCCATGCTTCGTTGAATTTGACTGTCAGTGATATCATTTCGCCGAATCACGTACCCAAAATCGTGTACTCATTTTTCGACCATTTTGGAGAAATCAACTATGATGGGCACACCCTGCCTTTGATGACAGTTCAAATCACGGAGCTGATTGATGGCATTTTTATTGGACCCTCCATTAATCATATGTTAATGGACGGGACATCTCTATGGAATTTCATCAATTCTTGGTCTGAAATATTTGATTCCAGGAGCAATGACGTCGTCCTTTCCAGGCCACCTGATCTAAAGCGTTGGTTTCCTGATGGGTACGGACCTATCCTCTGGTTGCCTTTCTCGCAGCCTGAAGAATTCATTACCAGATACCAGAACAGATTACCCGAATTCAAGGAAAGAATTTTCCATTTCTCGTCAGAGTCGTTACAGAGACTCAAGGCGAAAGCAAATGCTGAATGTGATTCAACCTCCATTTCTACTTTTCAGGCCATGTGTGCTCATGTTTGGAGGTGTATCACCAGGGCTCGGAATCTGGCACCGGATCAAGGCACAAAATGTGGCTTTTCCGTTGACAATAGATCCAGGATTAGCCCGCCGTTGTCTCCAGAATATTTTGGTAACAGTGTACAGCTCTTAGCAACTACAGTTACTTGTGGTGAATTGATGTACAATGGACTTGGATGGGCAGCCCGGAAGCTGAATGAGTTGGTCACCAATCAGACAGACAAATCTGCGCGTCAGTGGGCTGAAACGTGGGTGAAGGAGCCCTCATTTGCCAGCATTAACAAGTTTTCTCAGAATCCTGACAACATCATCCAAATTGGAAGCTCTCCTCGGTTCAATGTCTACGGGAGGAATTTCGGGCTTGGAAAAGCATTAGCAGTTCGATGTGGCTTCGGGAATAAGTTCGATGGAAAAATAACGTTGTTTCCAGGAAGAGAAGGTGGAGGGCACATTGATATGGAGGTTTGTCTTTACACTCCTTTTATGACTCACCTTGAATCCGACATTGAACTCTTGGAGACGGTTTCTCTATCAAGTCCTGTAAGTTCTTGAGCCAACAGTGAACAGTGTTTTCTATTTTGAGGGAAGAGAAAAAAGGATCATTCAAAATTGTATGGTCAAGACATATGTCTTTTTTCTGTTTTCTTATTTACTAGTACAATAATAAGATTCCACTTCTAAAATGTCTTCTCCTGATTATTTGAATCGTTGCACTGTGTAGTTTTCTAATGATAAACTAGCCCTAGTAAGGAAGGCATGGACTTCAACTTGTTCCAGTTTTTGGTCATCCAGGGGAGGAGAGGAGTTAACTTCAGAGCCCAAAATTACTAAAATTATACACTATGATATACTTCTTCAACTACTGGCTGTAATATAGTTTAGTCGTCAATCATCTTCAGTCGCCTTCAAAACCAAAGTGAAATGAAGTAATGATTGAGCGGAAACAGTGTAAATCATGTGATCATAAAAATATACCCTCCTTGGGAGCTAGCAAAGTTTCAACACCATTTCAAAGCTGAGCTCTTAGGGCTTCTTTAATCACATTCGAGCCGAGTGATTAATTGCTTTTTGTTTTGCAAGAAACATGGGTTCTCCATATGTTGAATGTATTTCCGAATGTTTCATTCAGCCAAAACATGCTCCTTCTAAACTGAAGAAACTATTGCACTTTTCCCCATGTGTCTTGGCAGAAGTTAATGTTCATTACATCCAGAAATATTGCATCTTTTTCTGCTAAGCCTCCATCTTTCAATACTGATGAAATCCAAATGAAATGTTTCCTGGAAAAGTTTTAAGCCTCCCTTCCAATCGCCCTCAATCATCATTTCCACCCGTTATTAGGTCGTACTGCGACTCTTAAACAAGACGACCCAAAAGTCATCATCCATTTATGCTGATTGTTCCAATGGCCCTAGAGGGTAAATTCATCCATGCTTCATTGAATTCGACAGTCAATGACATCCTTTTGCCGATTGACATACCCGAAACTGTGCATTCGTTTTTCAATCATGTTGAGGACATAGAATCCCTCTTATGACAGTTCAAGTCGCAGAGCTGATCGACTACATCTTTATTGGATTCTCCATCTGTAATGGATGGAACATCTTGCTGGCATTTCATCAATGAATGGTGTGAGATATTTAGTTCCAGCAAGACCAATGAAGAAGATCAAATTACAACTATTTCCAGGCCACCAAATCAGAATCAGTGGTTTCCTGAGAGATATGGACCAATTCTCAACCTTCCATTCTCACTCCATGATGAATTTGTGACTAGAAATCAAGCACCCAAATATGGAGAAAGAGTTTTCTCTTTTCTTTGGCTTTCTACCTTGCGATTGATATCGGCTTACTATTACTTCAACTGAAAAGCCTTCAATAAGGTGAATTCTCACACAATATTGTGGGTTTCAGTTTAGATTGAGCTACTTTAAATTTTACCTGTAAGTTTGTATAACTTTATTATCAGTACTTTACTGTTCAACTCTTTTTCAGGCAGCATTATGTATGGATAAAGGACAAATGGCCCTTGAATTATGTCCTAAAGACTAATCTCTCTCGATGTTTCTTGAAAAGACAAAAAGCCCCTCAAACTATATCTAAATGGACGATGCCAACCTCAAGAGTATAATAATAAAAATAATTTCTGTATTTTTCCATTATATTGCAGCTTTTAGTCATTTTATACTTTTGACCACAATTTTATAGCGGTCAAGAGGGGTTTTTGTCCTGTGAGAAAATTTAAGGGGATTAGTCATTGGGACATAATGGAGGGGGACGGAGATTTTGTCTTTGAGTCTTTATCTTTATGCTTATAATGATATTTTTCTGTTACATTCTATGTTATACAGTCTAATTATTTCTTATAAATATAATATGTTTATTGTAAATAAATATACCATAAACACATATTTTCATTGTAGATAATTTTTATGTTACTATTTTATTTTCTGTATCAATGTTATATTTTTAATGAAATTTGACAATTTTTATTAAATTTTAAGCCTGAAAATAAACAAATAGGCGCAATCCACAAGCAGTTCGTTTCTTTATTACACATGACTTCACTCCCTGGAAATACCACGATAAAGAAAAAACTAAATAAATAACCAAACAGAAAAAATATATATATATATGTTTGGACTGATTTTATCCTTTCATAACTGAATGATAACAAAAAAAATTTGAATTTTTTAAATTGCAGTATTTAATATAGATTACGGATATCAAGTGAAACCATGATTCTATTTAACCTTTTATTCAGTTATAAGTAAATAAAACTAGATGCTTGCCCCAGGCGAGTGCTCGGGGTGCTGCCTGTATTTTTAAATCGATTAAATAAAAAATACGAATCATTCTTAAAAGAATAAAAAAATAGAAGAATAAAAAATCGATTGAAAGGACAGAAAGTGAGTTATTATACATAAATCTATGCGCAGATTTATAACATTTAATTTACAACATTTAACTTATGCCCGGGTTTACATAAATCATAAACCAATATCTACAACAGAAGAAAAAAAAAATCATCCTTAAAAAATCAAATTTCTTTCATGACAACTTATTTTTTCTCTGTTGTAGAAATAGATGGATTGATAATTAATGTCAGATTTTAAGTAATTGATTTAAAGGCCCGGGTGTGAGAGAGGAGCGGAATGGAAGATATTTTTTGAAATTGGGGATTGGGAAGACATTATTGTGTTTCACTTGATTTAAGGGGATTTCCTTACATTTGATTTTATTAATTAAATATTATTGTTTTAAGAGATTAGTATATACCTATAATTAAGAGATTTTTATGTACCTATAATTAAGGGATTTATGTATTTATCTATTCCATTTTTTTCTGATTAGTTAGAGTGCCACTTGTCAAAAATAATTTTGTACTGAAAATGGCTTTTGGCGGGAAAAATTTTTATTGTAGTACTGACACATATCTTTTTTGTTTGTTGCTTTAATTAAGTACTATAGATACAAAAATTTACTCCAAAAAAAAAAACTTTTTTAACGACTTCATATATTTCAGACACGTGTCACTTGAACATTTTCAATAGAACGCTCAATTTGTCATAACAATTTCCCTTTTAAAAAATAATAGAAATCATTTGGGACGATGAATGTATCATTTTTTGAATCTGTGTGCATTAGGAAATGATCAACCAGCGTTTCCTTTTTCTGATTTAATCATTTAAATAAGGCTAGTTGGAGGGGAAGGGCGAACGAAATTTTTATTGTTTTGTGACTTTCACTAATAGAATATGTCCAAGTCTTTATTTTTTTAAAAAAATTCCCACATGTTGCTGTTTACTTTTAGCTACCAGTGACTAAAAAATTGAATAAGATATGAGCTTGCGAAAAAAATTATTAAAAGTTAAATTCCCTGATTGACTATGGCTTTGAAGATTTAATTAAAATAGTTAAGATGTCTTTAGGTGACATCACAGGCCCTTTGTATAAAAGGGCACTTGTTTTTGTAACAAAAACTTAAATGGTGCTGTTTGACTTTTAGTTGCTTAGTCGAACCGTTCCAGAATCCACTTTTTTTTGCCGATGTTATATCTACAGAGTTTTTTACCGAAAAAATTATGAAAAACCTAGATAAAAATAATGTGAAGAGAAAAAAAGTGGACAAAAGTAGATGTCCCGGATTTACCAAATTCGAGAGCACTTATCATTCGGATTTGCGAAATCCGAGAGAAGCTTAATACGGATTTGGTTAATCCGAAAGTCTTCTAAACTGAAATTAATTAAATTAGACCAAATAATTAATTAAAATTAACCTGGTTTTGGATTTGTGAAATCCGAATGACTTCACTAAAAAATAATTTTTTTTTATTTTGCAAAAAAATTCCAAGTGTTTGAAAATTAAAATTGACTAGAAACAGATCATCCAAATCCGAGACAAGGAGTTTCGGATTTGCGAAATCCGAATTACCAAAAAAATATTATTTTAAATTTCGAAAAAAAATTCCAAGCGTAAAAATAGATATGAAGAGTCTCAAATTTGGCAAATCCGAGAGATTCCAAAATGATATCTTTCGTATTGCCAAATCCGAGACATACCAGAAATTTAAAAAAAAATAATGGACTGGTGAAAACCAGTCCTAACCCTGTTTAAACAGCATTAACAACCAATTCATAACAACCTAATGCAACAACAAAACGATAACATTTTCATAACTAAATAATGTAAAATTCTCAACTTACAATCCAAATCATTCAAAAACCCTAAAAAAAACTAATCAACAATCATTTTTTCCTCTCTCTCTCCTAGAAATAGTGGTCGGGATAAAGTTAACTGGCGGGTTGCGCATCCTGTTGGATTTGCGAACCCCTTGTTCCTCCGGCTCTGAATGGATTGTAAGAATTGGCTCCATGTTTAGGACTTGCGATTCTCCTCCGAGAGTAATGGTGAGAGGTATCTCTTCATGTGGAGTGTAAGATCCTCTCGAAGAACCAATATTGTCCTCTCTTCTCACATTGTCTTTACATTTCCTCCCCTCCTCCCACATTCTCTCCTCCTGGGTTCTCTTGCTCATGTTGGCCCGAATCTTCCGCGTGATCTTGTGATTGTGATGGCCTGAAAGGATTCCTTCGCTTTCTTCCTCCTCCAATTTTCTCTCTTGGACACGGTTTCATTGTTTCACTGCGCGGACCTTGTGAAGGGCGACGAAGTTCATAATTCAAAAGGATTTGGGAATCCTCAATTTCCACCTCGTCGTCCTTTCCGAGAGTTAAAGCAGTGGGGGTTATGCCCGCGAAATAGTCGAGCACCTTTTCGAGGTCTTTGTCTATGTCATGGGCTCTACAACGTTTATCTCGAAATGATATGGCTCTCATACGGACATTGGTCAGCACTTCACCCTAGAAATCAAATGATGTGTTAACTAAAGGAGTATAATTCAAAATTTATATGAATAGAGTAAAATGCACTTCCATACGTAGATTAATTGCAAATAAACACTTACATAGACTTTCACCCAGCTCGAGGAAGACTCATATCCGGCTGATGAGTAGTGGCTCGGATCGCTTATCAATTTTATCGAACCTTTGTTATACCGCGCTTCGTACTTCTCATCAGTTTGACCAGGCTCCCCTTTCTCCAAATCCGTAGGAATGTATCGAGCTCTCCTATTCCAATGGAGGCGTACTTTACTATGGTATTCCACCTATTTTTTCTCAGTAAGTCCAGACATGTTGTGTTCATAAGCATTCTTATTCTCTTGGATATTGGCAATCATAGGCCATCGGGAAACAGCTTGAATATAGCTAAACTGTCTCACGACCCTATCAAATTCGTGGGGTTCTCGGATAGCCCAGTAGAACATCCACGTCCTTGCCATCCAAATAGCACTTCCATGTTTACAACAATCAAGGAGGGTAGGGAGGAGATCCTCATAGGGTTGCCAAACAAACTATGAAAAAAATTGAGAATTAACGAATTAATTCACATAAGAATGGTGGAAAAAAAATAATAAATTAAGAAGTGATCCATGCTTACATCACTGGCTTTTAAGGCGGTCAATTGATCTCTAGAATCCGGAAAACTAGAC